GAAGAACTTCTTTGGGATGAGGGTGTTGAGAGCCTGGCCCAGGTTGCCCAGAGAAGCTGTGGCTGCCCCATCCCTGGAGGGGTTCAAGGGCAGGTTGGAGGGGGCTTGGAGCAACCTGGGCTGGTGGGAGGTGTCCCTGCCCAAGGAATTGGGTTGAAACTCAGTGATCTTTAAGGTCCCTTCCAACCCAAACCGTTCTGTGATTCCAGAGATGTCCATCTCCGCCTTCCAACCCAAACCATTCTGTGATTCCAGAGATGTCCATCTCCATGCTGTGTCCTAGTAGGTGGCAGAGGATGGTCCCTCTTTCCCACCCAACTCTGCAGCACAGTTTGGGGAGGGGGAACCGCACTGAAACCCACCCTCTGCTCACCCACACCACTCACACCCATGTCTGTACACCCCATCCATAGCATCACCCACCCTCTCCCATTCAGGTACCAGTCTGGCACAGGGCTGCATGGACCCAGTGCACATACACCTCTAGATCAGATGGAAATCTGAATGCATAGAGAAAGGGGGACAGATTTCTGCTGCCTTAGCAACCGCTCTGAGCGTGCACCGCACACCGGAGACGTGCCAAACAACAGGCACAGCCCCGAGCGTGGGCTCCCTAAGGGCTGGGTCACCCCGATGGGTGGGGAGGACGGGGGCTTGCTAAATCCACGGGCTGAAGTCAGCACAGCCCAACGCCCACCTCCTCACCAAAGAGCAAAAGCTGAGGGAGGCGACGCCAGTGATGAAAGCAACGGCCCCCACACCCCTGGGATTTCCTATTTGGTCCTTGCTCGTGGGGATGCGAAGGCTCATTTATCAGTGGGGGGGTTTCCCCTGCTTGGTTCAGCATCCTGAGTTACCAGCAATTTTCTCAGCTCTGATCTATCTGCAGCTTCTCAGTGGCAGCAGGGGTTTTTTCCCTATTTGTATCTCTCTGCCCAAAACTGGCTTCCTCGGTGCAGCGACACCCTTCTGACCATCCAGCAAGCCCTGCTGCCAGGGGGCTGTCAGAGCAACCCAGAAGGAAGAGCCCCCTCAGACCGTGGCTCTAAGCAGCCTGCAACACACAGCATCTCATCAAATCCTCAGGGCAGCCCTGGTGTCCCAGATTCTGTAGCGCTACCCTTCTCCTGCCTTGTCCACCAAGGAGAGACTCGGTGCCTCCAAGCACTGCTGAAACCCAGAGCAGGGTTTGGTAACAGAGAAATGTAAATGGAGCAAACAAAGCTGGAGCTGATTCCCCCATGCAGCACCTCCTCCCGTGCCACCGCCTCCCCACACGCTGCCCTGGACCAGCAGCCTGGCAGGCACCACCACAACCCGGAGTGGGAGCAGGTTCTGGCCGAGCAGGGCTTGCTGGCATCGAGGAAACCAGAAATCCTCCAGCTCCAGGAGCTGTCAGCTGCTAGAAAGCTCCTAAAATAGCCAAAGGACTCGGCTGCCCCACGGGGCTGCAGAAACCCCCACTGCCTGCTTTTTAAAATCGTCAAGGTGAAGTTAAAAGCCTGGTCTCCTTGATCTCCTCACCCCTCTGCTCTCATTAAGCAGGGCTGCTTTCCACCACTGCTCCTGCAGAGTTTGCCAATCATAAGGATCTAAGCAGAAAAGTATCTACAGTTCTGGGTAGTTTAAGGAACCAGCAACTCATTACCAGCTCATAATTGGTTGTTACCAGCAGGACACACAGCCAGAGGGACCACAACATCCCTCCCACACCAGTGGGGACCTATCTTAACTCTGGTGGGAGCTGGGTCAGAGTGCTCCTGGAGAGAGGGACACGTCTCACTGAAGAGAGGGAAGCATGGGACAGCAAGAGCTGGATCCAGCCCACCAGATTTGGTGCATCTCAACTGTTTTACACTCACAGAGATGACTTTTGGCCTTTACTGGGGTACCTGGCGAACACCAGGCTTGTCTGGGGTGCTCCTCATCTAGCCCAGCAAGAAGATGATTAATGCACCAGCTAATTCAAGTCCCAGGTACCTGGCGAACACCAGGCTTGTCTGGGGTGCTCCTCATCTAGCCCAGCCCAGCAAGAAGATGATTAATGCACCTGCTAATGCAAGTCCCCAAATCTCCTGGAATAATGGGAAAAAACAACCCGGTGGTGAAACAGTCCATGCAGAGAGAGCACGAGCATCACAGCCTCCAGGAAGAGCCATAAAAATCTGTCCCTGTGCTACCATCAGCCCCAGGAAACAAAAGAAGTGCCTCAAGGTCTCTCAAGTCCCCCACACAGCGTTGGGCTTCCCGGTGACTTTCTATGAAGCTCCTATTTTGAGCAGTGATCAATTATGCATTTCAAGCCATATGGCATCTCATTCCAGAAGGAAAGCGGTTTGTCTTGAAATCTGCAAGGTAGAAAATCTGCTGCATCCTGACGGAAATGCAGCACCACCAGCCAGGCACAGGAGTGATGGAAGAAACAAAAGAGGCAGAATAAGGTAAATCAGACACCCAATTTCCACTGAAACACCCTGGAAGGGGAAACAGCCCCTTGTAAGTGCCCTTCCAAAGAGTCTTTTTTTTTAAATTAATCTGAGTTAGAGCTTTTTTGTGGAAACCCTGACAACGTGGGAACCCCGACACAATATGACACGTACTCAATTTAGCAGGAGGATCTCTTCCCAAAGGGATCTCCTCCAGGCAGAAACAGTCCCTAAAGCCCTTTGGGGCCACTGGGAGGGCTCCCAGGAATGACCACACTCTAGCATCGGTCCCTTCCCAGGAATGATGGATTAGAAACGTAGAAACACACTGCTCTCCAGTGGAACCAGAACACCCGAGGCATTTTTCAGTCCTACAGCACAGAGAGATGCTGCAGAGGCTTTTCCTCCAGGCTGCTCCTTCCCTCCCTGCAGCATTCCCTGACCTTTAACTGCGCCAGTGCCGCGCTCCAGGCTTGGTTCCAGCAGCTTTGTGGAAACTGCACTGTCTCCCAGTGCTCTGCAGGCCTGCTTGGGGTGAGACAACAACAGGGTGGAATTCAAGAGGTGCTCTAACCAGTCCAGTTCCCCCCCTAGAACCTATTGATGATCTCAGAGGTCCCTTCGAACCACTAAGATTCTGTGATTCTGTAATCCCCAGCAACGCCATGGTCTGCAGAGGAAACCAAGTAAGTGACCACTCACTGTCAGCACGATGTCACAGGGACACCTCATATAAAAGCAGCAGCAAGTGAAAGTGATGTCATTTTGTGCTGCAAAGGCCAATTAATCCCCAGCAACGCTGTGGTCTGCAGAGGAAACCAAGTAGGTGACCACTCACTGTCAGCACGATGTCACGGGGACACCTCGTATAAAAGCAGCAGCAAGTGAAAGTGATGTCGCTTTGTGCTGCAAAGGCCAATTAATGACTTGATGATCTCAGAGGTCCCTTCGAACCACTAAGATTCTGTGATTCTGTAATCCCCAGCAACGCTGTGGTCTGCAGAGGAAACCAAGTAAGTGACCACTCACTGTCAGCACGATGTCACGGGGACACCTCGGCCCTGAGGGAAGCAGGACAAACTGGGGAGAACGCTTTGGAAGAGGACCAAGGGGAGAACCAAGTGTGAAGGTCACCTGGCTACACCCTTTGTCCGTGTGTAACTCTGTGCACAACCCCAAACGCTCGCTTCACAGCTGCCAACAGGCACAACCCTTCCCCAACACCCCTTCCTTAGTGTAGAGGCACAGGCTGGTTGTGCTCCTGCAGAGGACTTTGGACCATGGCCCGCGTCCAGCGAGCACGGGAGGCTCTCTTTGTATAGGCTGCTCTACGAAAGAACGCTCGGAGCCTTGGAAATATTTATTAAACCCTTTCTTCCTTGTTCCACAGGTCACTGGGGTTGTTTGGAGAGACACACTGAGAGCACAAGGTCCCCCAGGAAGACACAGGGGCTGGCTGGCAGCAATGTTCATTCTGTAAGTTACAGCCATGACCAAGGTTGAGCTCTTTGCGGTTGAACGGATTCTAACCTGAGCAGAGGAAGGGGGAAAGCAGCAGCAAGGCTCTCCCGAGTGCCAACACACGGAGCTCTGCCCCCAGAGCCCTCCAGGGACTCCCTGAGGCCAGATCCCAAGCACGAGGGTGCCTGGAGTTACGGGGTGAAGGAGGCTTTGGGAAGAAAAGCTGCAGGACAGAGGATTCCAGCCCCCTCGCTTATCCATTTCTATTATTGTGTTAACAGCTCACAGAGATTTTCACCCCAACACAAGCAACATTTCCTCCTGCTTCGGGCTACCCCTTCCACACCTGGACCATTCCCACCAGGCGGTGGTTGGTTACATCATTCCCAGCCAAACTTCCTCTCCTCCTTTTGCCCCCGTTTGCATTTCCCCAGCTCCTGGGGTCTGTCACCAGCTGGGGCCTCACAGCAGCTTCTCCCGTGAGGATTAACACACTCCTGGGGGACCTCCTGCAGGGCCACAGGCAGCAGAGCAGCTCAACAGCTCCAAACAGCTCCATGAAGCCACCAGCGACCCCAACAAACCATTTCACTTCAGCATTTGAGAACATCTTTTGATAACATCTTTTGAAACTGCTTTTTTCCCCACCACCCCTCCTGCAGCAGGTCCAGAATTTGGACAATGACCAAGTCCCCAGTGGCCCCTCCTTCAGCATGCAATCTGAGACAGTTCTTTTAAATTTAAAATACCACCCCAGCTCAACAACCAAAATTCCAGCACTCAAGACTTCAAAAACTCCACCCGTTCCTCTATAATAACCTGGAGGAAAGCGGTGGTATCGACTGTCTCCAAAACACACGCATTTAACTCAGAAATTAACCAGTTTGGCCAAATAACAGCACAGAGCAACATCCCAAAGATGAAACTAACACGAAGAACAGCCTGGGTTACTCCAGCACCGCTGGTGGGTTTGGTTGGACCAGGGATTCGTCTCACCTTATAATATTCCGGGAGCACAGAAGCATGAAATTTGATTTCTTTCTTCTGCAGATGCTGGAGATTATTTTAATAATTCTGACTTGGTATCACTGAAAGAAAGCTCTTGTTCAGTGGTTTAATATAAAGTCTTTTAATATCTGTTTCAGCAATAAAATCTCTGCTTTCTCTTCTCTAAAGGTACTAATCTCAGCAAAGGATGTAATTTAAACAGCAGAATGAAGAAGAATAAAACTATGCAGCAGCAAGTGAACACTCTTTTCAAACAGGGACCCGCTCTGAACTATCTGCGGTCTGTTCCATCAGATTAGACCTGAGCAACAATTTAAACCCCAGCTCCAACCATCAACACGAAGAGCAGAAAAATGTTCTTTTACCCTTTCCTGGATCTCTGCGGGAACAGACGCACGGTGGGGAGAAGCAGAAGCAAAAGGAATAATAGCAGACAGCAGGAAAGGTGAGACATATCAAACAGAGAACATCAAACAAAGGACAAAGCGTAGGAGAACTGCCTTGGCAAACTGTGTGTGTATCGCTGTCTGTGGGCCCTGACCCTAAACCTTCCAGTTTGAGAGCCAGACACACAGAGACAGGATTCACCAGGTTAAAAAAAGATGAAAAAAAAAAGGCAGCAAGGGGAACAGGGCAGGACATAGCAGAAAATACAACCAGAGGATTTACCCATCTGTTGTCTGCTTGAAACATATTTCTAGGGGCCAATCAGGCCAAATTGTTTTGGCTTGAACTCTGTTTATTAATAAAGAGAGACCCATTTGCATTAGTATATGGGAGAGAAATACCACTGGCTCTGATAATTCAGGGTTAAGTTACACAAACACCTATCAGGGATCTTCTCTACATACTCTGACCTGGTTTCTCCCCCACTGCACGGCCTGTTGCCTCGCCTTCTCACTCTCTGGGCTGCACTACGTGCTTTAGAAAGAAATACTGGATTTCTAACTAGCTAACTCTTGAGCTACCCCATTTTTTTTAAACATAAAACATCTATTTTTAAAAGAATAAAATTTTCCAATCACATTTATATATACATTTCAGTTACTTAGGGCACAAATAAATACCATTCCTGTCTCCACAATGATTTTACCATAAAAATATAAAAAACCCAACCATATGGCAGCTCTACTTGGAGAAATTAATATATTCATAATGCAAGATTCCCAGTTAAATGATGAAATAAAGTTAGGTGAACACTGTTGGCATATTAAATAAAGGCAGAATCACTTCCTGACTTGTGTCTGGAACTCAAAAAACTGTCCCAACAACAATGAAGGTTAAATGACTGAACCCCCCCGCCAGTGGTTTCTACAGCAGGCTGAGGGGATCACTCTAAAGACAGGGATTAATACCAGCATTTAATTAAAAGTAATTTCCAAGTACCGTAACAGCTTTATTTCCACCTGACAAGTACCTGCTGTAAGCATATTAGTAATGCCCACATGAGATTAACCTATACTTCAAGATCTGCACAACAAAGAGGAGGGTTTTTTTGTCTTATTTTTAAATAGGACTTCACTGTTATTTCAGAGACGCAGAGAATACTTCAGGCAGTAATTGTTTTCTCCCAGGCAAAATGTTCTTACAGATCTTTGAGAGTAGGCTAGAAAAATTAAAAGAAAAAAGTTAAGAAAGACTTAAGGAAAGTAGACAAAGGCACTATTTTTGCTCATTTAAGAAAATCTTATTTTAGGAAAATTAAACTCTGAAAAGAGGTTCCTTCAGGAAATACTTCCTATTGCAGTATGAACAGAACGTACAATATGTACTACACAAGAGTTGTGCTTTCCAACATGAGGAGCGGCGCTGTTTTTCTTCATTACAACTTTTCAGGTTTTGCTTCTGATTTCTCATCTATCAGATCTTTAAATCCCAGTTTTTCCAGTGGTTCGTTAGCCATAAGTTGCCTAAGTTAAAAACAATAAAACAACAAAAACATTATGCAGAACACAGTCTATAACCAAGAGAATAGCAGCATTTTCTGTTTCATTTAATATTATTTACTCTGATGAAACCCAAGACATCCATAGGGAGTAAGCAACCGCCGCTTCCCAAAGCCTTAGAAACTTCAGTTTTGGGAAAGCAACATTCAAGGGATACTTTGTTTTCTTAACACCTGTTTTCCAATTAAATGTGTTGTTTCCTAATAGTAGATATTGAGTAAGAGTTTCCTCAGAAACTGAAACGACCTTTGGTTGTCTTTAACTAACAGAGTACATAAGAGCTTCCAAAAATTCTACCTGTGCCATTTACCAGACTTTTAAGCATTTGTGGTGCTGCTATACTTTGCTGCAGTGATTGTCAAACTGCTTTTGATTTGCAGCCTCCCCCAGCACCAGCCCATGCAGTGTACACACAAGCATCCCTGTATTTCAGCTCACTTAATAACACCCTTTGTGCATTTCCCAACGAGCTCCCTGACCCACCACAGACCAGAAGACACTGCAAAACAATGCCAGAATGAACACATCCCCAGAGAGCCAACCATCGCTTTTTTCACTTGAACTGAGGAAAGAGTTAAACTTTTAACTTGTAACCATAGCTAGGAAAAAAATAATAAAGCTTCACACTGAGAAAGACAGTTCTGTGCAGTGGAAGCTGGCCAAGTCTCAGATATCTTGCCTTTCAGGTGGGTAACTACACCACACCAAAGATATAAGCTAAGTGAATTGCTGAAGCCATAAACAACACTTGCTTCTCACAGGGACACAAGCTTACTGCATGAAGAATTAGGAAGAAATTATTACTATTAGGAAGAAATTCCCCGCTGTGAGGGTGGTGAGAGCCTGGCCCAGGTTGCCCAGAGAAGCTGTGGCTGCCCCATCCCTGGAGGGGTTCAAGGCCAGGTTGGAGGGGGCTTGGAGCAGCCTGGGCTGGTGGGAGGTGTCCCTGCCCAGGGCAGAGGGTGGCACTGGGGGGGCTTTACGGTCCCTTCCCACCCAAACCATCCTGTGATAGAGAAGGAGCTGAGCTCTGGGATGGGAAGTCTTAGGGACAATACATCAACTTCACCAAGGCCAAATCTTGTCCCTTTGAATCTATGAACGCCTCGGCTGCGGGTTCCCTTCCCCTCCCCACAAAGGGAGCCCCGCCGCTTCCCCACCCCGGCCCCCCCGGCCGCCCCTCAGGCCCCGCCGGGCCGTGCCCCGGGTACACCTGCCTCTCCATGCGGCACTCCAGGTAGGCCATGGCGCGCTGCCGGCAGGCCCCGCTCTCGTAGCCGCTCTCGCGGAGGCACTCCATGAACCGCTCCTTGAAGGCGCTGCACTCCCCTGCAACACACAGCGAGGGCCGCGCTACCGCCGGGCCCCGGGCCCGCCTCCCCGGCGGGGAGCGGAGGGTAGGCCCGGCGCTAGGCCGCGGGGCGGCCGGGCCCGCGTTACCGCACCGAAATGATCCAGGGGGAAGGCGCCCTTGTCCGGCGGCCGGGGCTTGAAGCTCTTGCTGCCGAAGTTCATGGCGGTGGACATGTCGCCGGCAAGGGACGGGGGGGGACACCCGGGGCCGGGGTCCCTCCGGTCACACAGCGGCCGCCGGGGGGAGCCGAACACCGATCCTCGCCGGCGATTGCCGAGCGCATCGAGCGGAACACGTGACCGCCGCCGCTCGGCGGAGGGGGCGGGGCGACGCCACGGCGTTGATATGGCAACCGCGGGCGGACCTGGGCGTCGCCGCGGCGGCGTGACGTCACGACGTAGGCCTCGCCCGGCAGCGCGGGTCGCCATGGAGACGGTGCCGCCGCCCGCCATGTTGGCCCGGGCCGGCAGGGTCGGACCCTCCTCCTGCCCCGGCCCTGCGCCTCCGGCTGGGCAGGCCTCTGCCAAATTAAACGTTTTCTTCTCATAAAAACCGTGTTATCTTCCTAATCCACCTCTGAGCTCACCGGCCGGGAAGGGCGAGAGCGCTGGGCACGGGCAGCCGGCCTGCTGAGGGGCGGGGAAAAGAGGTTTGTCCTTGTGCGTTTGGAAATCAAGGGAAAAAGACCAAAACTGGTGTCAGCAAATTTACACGCGACCAGCCTCTCCCGAGTCTCTGCCGTTGTGTCCAGGAGCCGGTGATCAGCCAGCAGTCTCCTCATGGAATCATAGAATGGTTTGAGTTGAAAAAGACTTTAAAGATCATCCACCCCCTGCCCTGGGCAGGGACACCTCCCACCAGCCCAGGTTGCTCCAAGCCCCCTCCAACCTGGCCTTGAACCCCTCCAGGGATGGGGCAGCCACAGCTTCTCTGGGCAACCTGGGCCAGGCTCTCACCACCCTCACACCAAAGAAGTTCTCCCTGAGATCTCATCTCAATCTCCCCTCTTTCAGTGTCAAACCCTTCCCCCTCCTCCTAGGGCTCCCCTCCCTGATCCAGAGTCCCTCCCCATCTCTCCTGGAGCCCCTTGAGGGACTGGAAGGGGCTCCAAGGGCTCCCCGGAGCCTTCTCTTCGGCTGAACCCCCCCACTCTCACAGCCTGTCCTCCCAGCAGAGGGGCTCCAGCCCTCCCAGCATCTCCTTGGCCTCCTCTGGCCCCACTCCAACAGCTCCATGTCCCTCTGATGTTGGTGGCAGCAGAGCTGGAGGCAGCCCGGGGGGGTGTCTCCCCAGAGCGGAGCAGAGGGGCAGAATCCCCCCTGGCCCTGCTGCCCACACTGCTGGGGATGCAGCCCAGGGTGTGGGGGGTTTCTGGGCTGCCAGGGCACGTTGCAAGCTCGTGGGGAGCTTCTCACCCACCAACACCCCCAAGTCCTGCTCCTCAGGGCTGCTCTCCAGCCATTCTCTGCCCAGCCTGGAATTGTGCTTGGGATTGCCCCAACTCACGTGCAGGAGGCTGGTAAAACCAAGCGGTCATCGGCAGATGCTCAAGGAACAGTGAATTCCCAGATCCTCCAGACAGATAACCAAGGCAAACAGCCCTCCTGCCCGCAGGTCTCCAGCACGCTCTCTGCAGAGCCTCAGATCTCATCCCGAAGGGAGGATGAGAAATGGTGTTAATTTAACCCACCCGAGTGTTAGCCCTGGATTACGCCATTAGAGTCTTTTTTCTTCTTTGCCCATAGCTGCAGTTGGTTTCAGATGGTCTTTCATCTTTTTAAAGTTGATTTTCTTTTAATTAAATGACTGAGATAAGTAGAAGGAATTCAAGGCTGTGGAAAAAAAAAAAAAAAAAAAAAAAAAAAAAAAAAAAAAAAAAAAAAAAAAAAAGAAACAGCTGCAATTGTTAAGGACAGTCATTATGGAAATATTACCTGCAGCCCCATTTAAAGAGCATTTTGTTTATGCTTTGATTGCTTTCTTATTACGGTATTGAAATTGTAAATGGAAAATTACACCATGTTCTATTACATAAGCAACTGGTTTACACAGCCTGAAATATAAGGTTTTATTTATTATTATGTTTTCAGGGCTACGAACAATAGATGTTTTTTATTATACGGTAAATAGCACTTTTCCACTTGACTTCATTATAACACTTAACAGTAAAAAGGAGATAACTCCTCTTTCATAAATACACGCAGCAAACTCTCTCCCAGATCTCAGAGGACTGAGCAGCAGAGAAGGAGCTGGGCTTTATCTGGACAAGTTTAACTGAAGTGTCAAAGCACTTGATTTTAGCAAACTGCCCAAATTATGCCCCTTAGTTTCTGACTCAGTGGTTGACTTGCTGATTCCCCATGGGATGAAGGAAGAAATCAAAGGAAAAAGATATTCAAGGACCCACAGTGGAATTATTCCCAAACAGACGGCGACAATCCTATGTATCCTCTTGCTGTATTATACTATATCCAAATGTTTTAATTACCTATTCATTAACTCAGTGTCTTTCTTTGGACTCTTGAATTTTGTAGTTACCTAAATTCAGGCCAGGTATAGTAGAAGATGTTGGGTTATGCTTACTTAATGTTTTTATTGCAAATGTCAGTTGTATCTTCTAGAGTTTCCCTCAAAGGTACAGTTTGTCTCAGAATCTAATACATGTGCTCTAGCACTATAGTATGTATTTTTCCCAAGGAGATCAAATTAAACCCCCATTAGATAACCAGTGCAAAGAGAAAAAAAATATCTCATTTGCAGATTAAGCCAACCTGTTCCAAAAGAATTCAATAAAAACAGAGCCACAAAGAGCAGTGCCACAAACAGAGAATTAAATGCTTTTCACGTATTATCTTTCAAAGAAGTGAGAGACTTTCGCAGCACCAGGGAAATCTGAAATAGCCGTTTCAGTAAAAAGGTGCCCATTGTACAAGAGAGATCAGATAATTCGTAAAGCAGCCAGTGTTTTACAGTATCTTTAGTGCTGGAGTCCTGAGCCCTTTCCAAAAATTAGAAACCTCAACTTAGAAGGGTCCCCAAAGCAGGGAAAATCTCGGATCTTCCCCTTTCACGTTACACAACTTGATAGACTAAAAAAACTTAATCCTTTGCTTGAATTGGGGCTGTTAGTCATTAATTATGGACTGAAGTGACACTTAAAAATGTTTGCTCTTTTACAATGTTGTCAGATCACACTGAAAACTTATTCCAGTATTGCTGCTTACCCAACAGTCATACAAACATACCTTCAGACAGAGTTTAACGCACTTAAGGGTTACTTCTGGAAGTACCAAATTGAATAGTGCAGCAAAGCAGAACCTTTATTCCTTTTTTATGGGCAGAGTAAAGTCCAGGACTTTCATTATTTTCTCTCTCTCACCACGGTGCATCTTTTAAGAGTCTACAAATTCAAATTATTAGGTAGTTAATTTGAAAATAATTTATTGACAAGCCCTGAAAGGCTTTGAGTAAAGTCCTAGGGGTTTTTGTAGCTCGGCTTGGGCTAGCTGTAAGAAATTAATCAGTTGAACAAGACCAAGCACATTCAGGCGCTGGAATTTGTGCCCTTGAGACTGCTGTTCCCAGCCCAGGCACAGAACACACCTCAGAGAAACATCCTTCCAGGATCACTCATTCCTTCGCCTCTCCCTCGCCCGGTGAGCACGCCGCCAGCTCTTACAGAAGGTCTCTTGCTACATCGCTGCCACGGGCTGTTGTAAACCATTTTTCTCCCTTTTAATTCAGGTTCCTAGACAAGCAAAAATGCAGAATATTGCCAGAATAGTCTGGGGAATGGGGATTTCTGTTGTGGATGATTAATGAAATATTATTGTTTTGCACTTACAGGGAAATCGTAGTTTCGTGCCAGTAAGGTCAGGGCCTTAATATGTCATGTGCTCTACAGAGATGTAGAGAATGATAGCTCATTTTGCTGGTATGACTAAGCCAAAGCCTCAGCAGGTTAGAGGGGAACGTGGTAGAAATAGTAACACCGCGCTGAAAGCCAAACAAACCTTTTTCTGACATTGCTACTTGCAGTTCTGGTATGTCTAAACCCACATCTCCACCTGCACCAAGACAGGGGGGCCCAAAAGTAAGATGCTGGGACCTTGGCTCTGTAGATATCTACCAACTAATCATCCTTCGCCATACCCCCCCAAACTGCCCTTGTGTTATCATAATTCCTGCCATTCGGTGTCGAGATAGATTGAACCTAGAGACCCAAAATAGAAAGATCCTTGGAGCTACGCTGAGCCATTTGATTTGTTCAGCTGTATTTTGAAAATAAATCCTTCATAGCCTGACCTCCTCAGCACTAACTTCCCAGGTAAGGCTGCCTTGGCTTGTTGGCCAAAGCGTGGGGTCTGGAAGATCATGCTTCTGGCCACAGTCACAATGGATTTTTCTGCAAATATTGTTATAGATATTCACATCATAACATACATTACCAGCACCAAATCCTAGGATCTGCCATGTGTGTTGTGACTGAGTGAGACTCATGAAGGAATGACATCTATTTGGCCCAAAACCAAGGCTTTTAAAAGCAACGAAGTTCCTGAGAGTGGTTTGTTGCTAAAAAGGGTAAATCTTAACATGAGTGGGAAATACTGTCACCTTTGGCTCTGCACAGAGACAATGCACTCATCCCATGCACAGATTTTTTTATTTTCTTCCCCCAGTGACCAGACCCATCATGTACAATCCCTTCAGCTCAGAGTATGGAAACACAGAGACAATGCACTCATCCCATGCACAGATTTTTTTATTTTCTTCCCCCAGTGACCAGACCCATCATGTACCACCCCTTCAGCTCAGAGTATGGAAAAACAAAACCCCAATAATCTTTCATTGAAAATTTGCAGAAAGTTTTAAAAAGTCTTTTTCGGGAGTCTTTCTTCCCAAAGCAGATGTGCAGCACACACTGAGTTAGAAGATAACTGACAGAAATTCAGTTCAAGTTGTTTATATCCAAGTGGGCACAGTGAACACCTGCGACACTGCTCGCTGCCCCGTAGTCATCCCGCAGAGAGAGCGATGTGCAGGATGGGAAGAAGTGGGTGTAATCCAATAAAACAATGCAGTAATTATGAAAAATGGAGAGAGGTCAAAGTCGGAAAGCTCTGGATTTCTTTTTGCACTGTTGTTCGTCAAGGTGAGCAAAACCCATTAGCGAGGAGCAGCCTGAGCTTTAACACATTTGAGTCTTTAAAAATGTTAATGTTTAATAGGGTGTGCTCATGCTTTCTATACCCCTGCTAACAGCACAGGGGCTGATAGGCATCTCTCCAGGTTGTAAATCAGTTGCAGTGCCTTGCAAGGCACACAAGCCCTTGGTGTTCACTCTCATGGTTTATTATGTTATCAGAACTCATTGACTGAATTATGGCCTTATAACAGCTCTTTCTCTGCATTATCCTACTGTTACCGCAGCGTTATTAACCTCTGTCCCATTAGAAGATGATCTGTCCTTCTCCAGATGAGCACACAGACGTTGGACGACTGTGGCTGTTTAATGCACAGGTTCATTTTCTAGGAGGAACCGATGATTTCCCTGAGCTGGACCCACCACATCTGCTTACCTGAAGGTGGTGTTGGTCCTGGCTTGGGCTGGTGGAAAGGCAGAGACACATGAGCAGGGAACAACGTCTTCTCCCCGGTCCGGTGTGGGATTCCTCACCTCATGCCAAAAACCCAGCTGTGGGCTGTGTTCAGGGTTGCATACTGGAAGCCAAGGTATGGGAAGAAGAAATGGAGGTGAGGACATCACGTTAGTTGTGAGGACATCACGTTAGTTGTATCTCAACACTGTGATGATCCCCTCCCATGGAAGAACTCACCCATCATTTCCCACAGCCCAGCATCAGTCCAGCAGGTTCAGACCCCAGTCTCATTGCTTGAGACAGGATTTCACCCCGTGTTATCACCAGCTACAACCTGAAGCTTTAAACAGCCTGAAAGCCCTGGAGAAGGCATTCCTGCTGTCTGTGGCAGTAGCCAGCTCCACTCCAACAGAGCAGCGGTGGCTGTATGTAAACACAAACAGGAAATTCCCTCCAACTGCACCCACGTAGGATTTTTTTCTTGCTCTTAATGTATCTTATAAAGTCTCAAGAGTCCCAGTGGCCACACCATTTGCTCGGCAAAGAGTCTGGCAGAACAGGATACTCTCGGAAATGTCTGAGAGAAGAGGGCCCAGACTGAGAGGTGTATGGCAAATCTTGAGATGGACAGCACCATCCATTGCCCTCCTTCCTTTGCCCCACCTGCCTTGCCCTCTTCTGCAGGGGGTAATTCCCCCTTATGAACAACTCCACTCTTGATAACAAGCCCTGGAGAACAGGCAGACGTGCAGGCACCTTTTTCATGACAATCTAGTTAGAGTTTATTGATTCCCCTTGCCTTCAGCTAATGTACTTTTATTATTATTAATAAATAATCATCATTTTTTTTCCCATCGGTGGAGCCTGCACCCGGGAGCCTGGGAGGATTCTAGCGAAAATATTATTAAAACTAAAGATTTCCACAGGGTTGAGCAGCAGCCCAGTAATCTGACAGAGCCTGCAACTGGGGAGCAAAATACCCCCGCTTGAGAATACGGGATAGAGCATCAAATGGTCTCCTTCCCCCAGAGCCACCATTTGAAACAATGGTTGTTCAGGATCACTTTGCCATCCTCCCCCGGGGATGTGGAGGGAGGAGAGCTGTGGCCCGGGCAGGCGGGCTCTTGTGGGCCCCTGCCCTGGCACGGGGCAATGAGTCAGTGCTCCTCCCAGCTGGCACCCCGGCAGCATCCCTCCTCCATCCTCTGCCGGCGGCACAGCAGGATCCCAGGACAGTTGGGGAAGAGTCATCACCACCCTCAGAGACAGAGATGGACATCTGGGCACACAGTCCTCTGGAGAGCAAACTGCAAAATAGTGACTTACGTGGTTTCAGGGGAATTTTGGGATTGCCGGTAGAAGATTTTTGGGACAAAGAGCAATAGCAGTGTCAGCAATGAAAACACTGGGTTTCTCAAGGAGGTTGAACAGGCTGTTTTCTGAAATGGCTGCCCAGAGAGGTGGTGGCGTTTCCGTCTCTGGAGACATTCAAAACCAGCCTGGACATGTTCCTGTCCAACCTGCTCTGGGTGGACCTGCTCTGGCAGGCATTTGGACCAGATGATCTCCAGAGGTCCCTTCCAACCCCATGTCATTCTGTGAGTCCATGATTTTACTGGGGTGGCAGGAAAGCAAAGAGAATCAGAGCAGTCACCTGTCCTACAGATCCACCTATTCCCGACTGCAATCCCGAATCAGCACATCTTCATGCCACCACTATCCAACTCCTCCATGGTCAGCCTTGTCTTCCCTGAGGCCTTCCTTGCCAGCTGCACCCAGGGCCACGCATTTCTGTGGCCTTTCCCACCTGTGTCCTGCTTCCTCCATTGCATCACCAGTGGTCCAGCCAAGTCCTGTGACCTGGCACCCTGACAACAGGCCAACGTGGGTCCCATCCCTTAATTCTGCCCCTGAAATCAGGTAGACCACAATGTGTCCCTAACACAGATTGTCACTGGGAAACCAACACCGTGCCCCAGTGTTGGAGGTGAAACAGGAGCTCCAGATTAAGGTAATCCATGTTGCAGAATGAAATAGGGTGTTTTACTTGGCAGGGGAAAAAAAAGTACATCTGGTCTAAGTGGAGGTAAACAAGACCTCAGAGTCCTTTTCTCTGGGTAAAGCCACTTCCCCAAGAAGGTGTGTTTGGGCAATGACAGAAGGGCTATAAAAGCCCCCAAGATGCTCATACCCACAGGTGAATCTGGAGATGGCCGTGCAGAGTTTGCTGCAGTTCCTGGGCTCCAGCTCGTTGCTCTGCTTGGCAGCAGGGCTGCTGGCTCTGCTCTACTTTCTTACCAGCTCCAAGAAGCCGGTTTGCAGTTTGCCTCCTGGGCCACGACCTCTTCCTCTCATCGGAAACCTGAACGTAGTGGACCTGAAAAAGCCGTTCCAGTCGCTGACAGAGGTAGGGCCTGAGCGAGCAGGCAGGAGAAAAACGTGCAATTCCTGGGCTGCCAAAGTATGGAATTCCTGTGGCAGTCACACAGGGTTCATCTGCCCTGATTTACGGTGCAGAGGATTGTGCAGAGCCCAGTTTTGATGGGCTTCTGGTCCTGGGCTCCCATCTGATCATGGGTGTGTTTGAGGGGGCCAGGGTGGAAGAGCAACAACTTTTGGGGGCATTGGGGGGTTTTATGATACAAATGTCATGCAAAGGAACCAGACTCATTTCCTATAATCACAGAACCATAGAATTGCCTGGGTTGGAAGGGACCTTTCAGATCATCGAGTCCAACCATCAACCCAACACTGACAAAACCTGTCACTAACCCATGTCCCTCAGCACCACATCTGCCCAGCTTTGAAATCCCTCCAGGGATGGTGACTCCACCACTGCCCTGGGCAGCCTGCCCCGACCTGCCGAGCAGTTTCTTTGGGCTTTCAGGACTGCCACATCCAATCCTTGTGTTCACCACTGCCCTGGGCAGCCTGCCCTGATCTGCCGAGCAGTTTCTTTGGGCTTTCAGGGCTGCCACATCCAATCCTCGTGTCGCTGAGAAAACCCAGGGCTGAGGCCAAGAAGTGCTAATGCAAAGAAATGAGCGAAGGAAGGCAGGGAGGTGGCTGTGATTCCTCCCCCCGGCTCTGCCAGGCACTGCACGAGCTGCCGGGGATGAAGGAACCAGCACTAATGTTATCTCCCAAGCCGTCAAACCACCGTTTGATGAAAACAAATTCAATTTGTCTGGTGCAATAACAGGAGCTGCTCCTAATCTGAAATTCAATTTTCGGTATGTATCTAATGCATAGCAAATGCTAACCCAGGCACATCGGAAGCAAGAAGCCATTTGGAGCGGCTGGCTCGCAGTGTGCTTAAACGAAGTCTAAAATACCCAGTGAATGATTAGATTGTCAAAGCCACCCTTCTGGGTAACAGATGATTCATACTTAATTCTCTGTAAAAGCCCGGAGCTCGCGTGGCATTATCTAGAGAACACGCTTCCTACTTGGATTCATGTTTCTGGTGGCCAGCAAGTAATTTCACCATGACTGCAACACTACCCACCTTGCCATAATTAGAGACAAGTGCCGTCCTGAAAGAAAGAGTTATTGTCTGGCTTTGTTTTTGTAGTGTTTGTGGCTTCCAGCCTTAAAGACGTGTGCACGCCCGCTTGCCTCGGGTCAACGGCGTTAAAATAAACAGGCCTGCCTGTTTCTAACCTTCCCTAACCGCCTGCCAGGGGCAGGATGGCTCCCCTGGCCTGTTGCTGCAGAGCACCGCAGGAATGCGATGGCATTTCATTGACTTCTCCGATAGCAGCAGCGATAGCAGACACCTTGTTGTGCAAACAGGGCGCAAGCAGAGATGCTGGCAATTGATAGCTGTTGCTCATTAGCTGCCTTACAGCAGCACCTGGAGACCTGGGGCAGGGCTGGGAGGCTCCTTTCGGGCTAGAAACCACCTAGGGTGGCTAGTGCCAGCATTTGGGTCCAAGATCTGGTTTTGAGGGAAGGTATTGATTCGCCTTGACAGCTCTCCAAGGTGTACGGCAACGTCTTCACTGTGCATTTCGGACCCAGGAGAGCCGTGGTACTGGCTGGATACGAAACCATCAAGGATGCCCTTCTGAATCATGCTGAAGAGTTTGGAGAGAGGGCAGAAATACCAATATTTAGGAAAATGACAGAAGGAAATGGTAAGTGGCCTTTTGGTTGGTTAGTTTTTGTAGTTTGCCTGGGTTCATCGCACTCTTAAAGCAGAGGGTACCATCCCCTTACAGGTGGTTTTTTGTTCATATAGCTGTCTACCAGGCAGCTTTGGCACCTGTGTGTAAAGAGGCCTAACAAATGTTTATTAACCACATAAGGACGTTACACCTTTATTTTAGGCATAGCATTCAGCCACGGAGAGCTTTGGAAAACCATGAGAAGATTCACGTTGTCCACACTGCGAGACTTTGGAATGGGGAAGAGAACCCTAGAGATCCGAATCCTGGAGGAAGTGAATTCTCTTATAAAATATTTCGAATCCTACCACGGTGAGTGCCAAGACTTTCATCCAGAGACAGAAGACATGCCTAGCAGAACAATAAAGATTAATGAAAGTTTAACTCTGAGCAAATGGTTAAAGTTCAGCATAGGCTGAAATAGGTTGTTAAACCGAGGCCTTAAAAAAATGGAAACCGAGCTCCCTGCTGTGCATTGAGTGGGGAGTGATTTTTCCCTTTGGGAGCTTGGGACTGCATTTCCACAGGAAACCAGACTGAAACGAGTATAATCACATCACATTGGTTTTCATTCCTTGAAACACAGGGAAACCATTCGATACGAAGATGATACTCAACAACGCTGTGTCCAACGTCATCTGCTCTATACTGTTTGGAGAGAGGTTTGAGTATGACGATCCTGTATTTCTAACTTTGCTGAAGCTGATCAATGAAAATACCAAGCTGTTGGGCTCCCCGATGGTGCTGGTAAGAGCTTGATTTTACATTTTAGCTTTTAGCGTTTTTTGGGGGGGATATCCGGTTGCCCATGTTTGTCCTCCTGGCCTCCCACATCTTGCTTCTTGAGAACAGGAATATTACCAGCCAGCCTGTACAGAACACATCTGCCGTTCTGTATCCACCACGCACAGATTGCCAGGCCCCTGCACTTGGTCTGTGAAGCTTATTAGTAAAAGAAAAAAAAAAAACATAAAGTCTTCACAAAAGGAACTATTTTACCCTTCTTGAAGAGCAGAAGCACAATATGTCTCACATCAGAGACTGGCCCTGAAATGCCATCTCAAATCTGCCTCCTTGTATTCCACCTTCAGTAACTCAGTTCTGCCTCCCCTAGAACTAGGTTTGACAAAGTACTTTTTCTTTTATTTTGGCCACTGAAACTCAAATCTTAGCAAACTAACAGCTGATAGAAGCTGCAGCGGTTCATAGCTACTTGGTCTGTACAAGCAAATGTGGGGGAATTATGGCCTGAGATGTCAGGGAATGGGACAAGGGACCAGTGGTGTCATCTGAGGTACGAGTATGTGATCAAAATGCCAATTAACAGTAAGACTTCTCTTGCTCCACAGCTGTATAATTTCTACCCGTCCCTTGGATTTCTCTCTGGAGCTTCCAAGACCGTGCTACGAAATGTCAGTGAGCTGAACGCTTTTCTCCAGAAGCTCTTCCAGGAGCATAAAGAAGAGTTTAACGAAAATAACTTAACGGGCTTCGTTGATGCCTTCCTGATGAAGCAACAACAGGTACCTTAAAGCTAAGTCTCAGCATCTTTCTATTCTCTTAGCTCTGACTCTTCTTAGGACTGACCATCTGTCAGGGGCTGGGAGTGAGTGGAAGGAGAATAAATCAAAGCTGCTACTCCCAGGGAGCTGTGCTGTACGCCCTCCATCGCTCCACCCAAACTGCTGGTTTGAAGGGATCTCCTCAACATGTCCCACGTGGGTGAAATAAGTTACTGCTCAGCACACATAAGGAGATCATCCCAAACCTTCCTGCAAGAATGGTACAGTGATAAACTTCATTGTGGTAACTAAGTTCCAGCTAACCTCATATCTGGACGTAGGGATTGCACATGTGCTTGGGACCAGACAAATTCCACACAGCATAGGCCCTAATGCTAAAATACTAAACATTTAGTTTCCCAGAGTATATAAAAATCACAAAAAGTTAAAATGCAGATGAAAATGGTGGCAACCATGTAGAACTTACAGCCATTACTTGTATGTTTTGAAGGAATCAAAGAAACCCCACACCATGTTCAACAACAAAAGCCTGATGTTTTCAACTCTGGATCTCTTTGCCGCTGGGACTGAGACCACCTCCACGACCGTGCGCTGGGGTCTTCTTCTGATGATGAAATACCCAGAAATTCAAAGTAAGGCAGAGAAGTCCTCTGGTACAATATACTGTTGCATGCTTAAGGCTTGGGTTGTGGGAGTGGAACTCATTCAGCGTTGTCTAGAGTAATTATTCTGAGCGCTCCGAGAGAGATAACAACCAACCGTTGACTTTACAAAGGAATTTTATTCAGCTGGATTGCAATAAAGCAGCCCAGCCGAGGGGGAGAGGCGAAGGGCCAGTCTACAGTTACAGTAAAGCTCCCCCATCGTGATTCTCCTGCAGGCGATGGGCTTACGTCACCAAAGGTCTCCTCAGGAGCTGATTCTGATCTGGTTTCTGTTGAAGGCACTGGGGTAACGAAGGTGTGTGATCAGAACCAGGCATGGGCTGTACTGGATTGACTCCATTCAGGCTCCCCGGGCTCAACAACCCTGAAAGAACCACGCAATCCCCTGACTTACCCACCTCTGCTCTTCACAAATACCCCTCCAAGTTTTCTCTTTTCTTCCTCTTGGCCGAACTGGAGGCCATTTCAGTTGCAAGATAAGAGGGTTATCAGCTTCCTAATCCTTTCCTCCCTCCAAGGAAAAATTCAGGAAGAAATGAACCACGTCATTGAACCAGGAAAGCTGCCTAAGTTGGAGGACCGGAAAAAAATGCCTTACACAGAAGCAGTGATACATGAAATACAAAGGTTTGCCAATATTGTCCCAATGGGTGTATCACGATCAACTCCTACCGACGTGAACTTCCAAGGCTACGTGATTCCTAAGGTGAGCAGCTTACACTGCACAGATTCCCCAGTTTTATTTGAAGCAGAGAAGAAGAAAAATACAAAAATCTAAAGATACCATGATGGGTGGTTTAATCTGTGATGTGATCCCTTGTCTTGGATCCAGGGTAGTTGTTTTAGACACTGGAGTGTGTTTTAACAGTGCACTGGTGTGTGCTCTGTTACAGCTGTTTGAATCCAGACTAACCAGAGAGTTTAATTAAACCCCACTTGTTTGAATCTCTTATGCCAGAAGGGGAACCTCTACTTCAGATCTTTCAAGAACGATGCTGACTCTGTAAGAAGGGAACATTTTGTGGTCCACAAAGAGACCAGCAGCTCCTGATGGCAGGCAGAGCCACAGTGGGGCAGGGAAGCAGCCCCCAGTTCTGTTTGCCAGGGCTCAGTCTTACGTCCTCTTCACATCAGAAAAAAGAAAGCAGCCTGGCTGGGCTGGGAAGGTGATCTGCTCTAAACAGCTACCGTGAGTTTCTTTGATCCCTTTCAGGGTACAGAGATCATTCCCCTGCTGACCTCCGCTCTCAATGACGAGTTACACTGGAAAACCCCGGATCGGTTCAACCCTTCCCACTTCCTGGATGCCGACGGGAACTTCATTAGGAGAGAGGCATTTATTCCATTCTCCATAGGTGAGAGGGGTAACACATGCACGGCTGGGGTGGGGCTGATGGCACAGTCCCCACTGACTCCAGGGAAGTATGAAGGTTGGGGACACAGAACATAGGATAAGGGACCTCTGGGCATTTGCCTTGTCCACTATTGCTGTAGGTGGCCACCTCCTCCTTGGAAGATCTGGGAGACACTAATTGACCCAGAGTCACTAAATGGTCTCACATACCTACAGGCTTCTCTCTGGTTTGAGACAGAGTTAGAAGCACCTCTAATATGGAGAGAGAAGGAAGGAAAAGCTTCCTACCTCAGCAGCCTGCTCTTGGGGACCATGCCTCCAGTTTAGAAGGTCTCAGACATCAACACTAACAGTTATGGTGCTGATATCTACTTCTCTCCTGGTTGTTTTCAGGACGAAGGGCTTGCCTTGGAGAAGGACTGGCCAAAATGGAGCTGTTCCTCTTCTTCACGGGCTTGCTCCGCAAATTTGTTTTCCAGCCCCCTCCAGGAGTGGATAAATCAGATCTAGATCTCACCGCCGACGTCGGCTTCACCTTGAACCCCATGCCCCACCTGGTTTGTGCTGTGCCCTGTGAATGATCAAACGACAGGGAGTTAGAGTAGTGAACACCTCCAGCTTGAAAGTCTAATTACAGGGGGGAAAAAAGCCATCTGTACCTGAGCTTTAGGGGAAGGAAGACACTACCTCCAGCTTGAAAGTCTAATTACAGGGGGAAAAAGCCATCTATACCTGAGCTTTAGGGGAAGGAAGATACCGGGCACTGCTATTTTTCTCTCATTCATGCCATTCTTTCCGACAGCTCTTGTGGTGTCTGTGCAACGCATCCCCTTCAGACACCCCTGAGTGCTGCTCTCGGGAACTGTGTGATTCATTCCTGGAACAGCACATCAGAGATGCAGTTTTCAGGGCTGTTTGAAAGAATGAAATGGCTTCAAGCCTTCTCTGTAGATGTTAACCCATCAGGGGCTCTCCTCTGAGAGCCTCCACAGGGAATTTCTCAGCCCAAAGTCCAAGCTCTATAGCAGAGCTGATTATCGATGGCCCAGCTGGAGACAACAGACACTTAATGGATCTAGAAATCTCCCCAGGACGATTGTTCAGCTGAGCCCCAGACTGAGCTCCCATTGTGCGATACGACCCGCCTTATCTTTATTACAGAGTCCCAGACGTGAGGGTGTAACGTGGGCTGATGCCAAGAGCCAGGCACAGGACAGTTATCAGAGAACATCTAAGGGGTTTGGGAAGTGGGTTCGTTCCAACTCACAGCAGGTACTTTATGCTGAAGAGCCCGTTTATGATGGGGCCAGTCGAGCAGCTTCCTGCTTCCAAGGAAGGCACTTCTACCACTCCCTCACCTCTCCTGGCTACGTGCTGGCTCTGGCACTTGTCCCATCCCTTCCTGGGCCATCTTAGATCCCTAAACTGGTGGAAAATGAGCAGCCACAGAAATTGAAGAGTCTGTGAATCAGCGTGGCTAAAGCTGGAGACAAGACTGAGGCAGCGGGAGGGCGATGCAGGCTGAGGAGGGGCAGCAGGACTGTCCCACTCCCATCAGGGAGCTGGGGGAGGCTCAGCCCTTGGCTCTGCTCACACCGTAGGAGCTGTAGTCACCCTCTAGATCCTCTCTGCCCTCCACGGAGAGACTCTTTCATGGCATGGTTCAACTGCCATAAGGTCTGACTTGCTCACTCCCACCACTGACTGCAGGTGAACCATCATCCACAGGCTCCTCATTCAAACTTCAGTCTCATGTATCAGGTGTGTTGGGATGAATAGGGACAGGGTTCTCCATACCACTGAAAATGGGGCTTCAACTCTTTAGAAAATGTTGCTTAAACTCTTTAGGAAACATTGCTGTCTGTCTGCAGCCCCACACCAGACACACAGCCCCTGGCATTTCCAGCAGGGTCCCTCTCCTTGGGTCGGGGGCAGGCAGCAAGGTCTCTGAGCAGAGCAGGAGATGGTGCTGAGCAAACACCACAGGCTCCCACGAGCATTACACACACTCAGTGCACAGCAGGAGTGGGGCCATTGCACCAGGAACTGCAACCAAAACTCTGGTGCTTGCAGAACCACAGAACCATAAAATCATAGAATTGTCCAGGTTGGAAGGGACCTTTAAGATTATCGAGTCCAGCCATCAACCCAACTCTGATAAAAACAATCACTAACCCATGTTACTAAGCACTGTGTCAACCTGGCTTTTAAATACCTCCAGGGATGGTGCCTCAACCCATTCTCTGGGCTCTGGAGAAGTTCTTTGGCCACTGAAGTAGGAGCTGACATCACACATTCGGAGCTGACCATGCTCACACTCTGCCAGCAGAGACCCTCCATCACTGTCAAGACTAATAGCATTTTGTCTGTAGTCACTGTGAAAATAGATGTAAAACTGGTAACAGAGTCTGGAAGGAGAAGCAGGTTACACCTCGTTACCAAGTCGCTCACCTGCACCATTGACTTGTCGTATGGGGTCTCTGCAGAAAGCTGGTGGCACCCCAGAGTCTGCGGCTCCCCTCCAGCAGCCAGGTGATTACTAAAATTAATGATTTATCTCCCGCAGCAGGCATTAGGAATAGGAATAGCTAACTGTACCTGCAAGGCTACATGCGCTGGGGGAAGCGGGATGAAATCTGAATTTCAGATTTCACTGAAATCTGCTGTGGGTCCAGGAGAGGAGGCTTCTTCACGTGCTGTGACACGGGTGGGAAACCACGCGTGGGTTAGGGAGCAGGGAGTCTGGAGAGGCTGGTGTGTCAGTTCGGAGGCAGCAAAGGCAGGTGAGGATGGAAAGGAAAAAAGGGAGAAACAGAAAGATACAGAAACTGAGGTTATGGTAAATCTGTAACGTAAACCCGAAGTTGCTGGCATCTAGAGATGCAAATAGAAGGAAAGAAAGCAGGAGGGATGACAAAGTAGGGTGTTCTTTGGCCAAGACACTGATTCTTCACACCAGCTTTACTCCACGCAGCTGAAGGCAGCACTAATAGTGGTACTGTGCCTTGTGCCTTGCACACGCATCGTGCCTTGCACACACATTGTACATCCAGCTTCTGGGTACCTCTCAAGAGCCTGCTTAGCAAGATGTCTAACAAAAAAAGCCTTCTCTGCTCTATTTGCTTACCTGTGTTTTGCTGTTGCTCTATTTGCAGTCTGACTGCTGCAAGCCTGACCTTATCTCTGGCTTAAGAAATAAACATTTTTGCTGTGTTGATCTACCTGGTGTCGCAGGACGAAACCGATTTCGGGTCAAAATGCTCAAGTTGGGCTGCACCCCCTGTAACACGCCCGGGCAGAGGAGAGCAGAGGGATCCTGGGGCAGCAGGCAGCCGGGACACGTCACGAGTGAGCAATGCTCGTAGCCACAAACACCTCCAAGGCCACAATGGGATTTCTAACTCCAGAAAATCCCAGCTGCCGCCTGAGGTAGGACATGGCTCTGGATGCTGCTCTGATGTGGCCCCTCACAGCAATTCCTGGGGTCCTGCCCTTGCTTAGAGGGAACTTGTCACAGTAAAAAGCCAGCAGGGGTTATCCCAGGAGTTATTTGGAGGCACCGCTGGTAAAGAACGGGACTAACAGGGAAGGCACAGAGATTTGGGGGGATTTCACTGAATTTCACTGAATTTCACTGAATTTTTAGAGTTGGAAGGGACCATAGAGATCATCTAGTCCAACTCCCCTGCTGAAGCAGGATTGCCTAGAGCTAGAGCATGTTACTCAGGAGCATCCAGGCGGGTCTTGAAAATCTCCAAGGAAGGGGACTCCACACCCTCCCTGGGCAGCCTGTTCCAGGGCTCTGCCACCCTCACTGTGAAGAAGTTTCTCCTCATATTTGAGTGGAACCTCTTATGTTCCAACTTGTGCCCGTTGCCCCTCGTCCTCTCACTGGGAACCACTGTAAAGAGTCTGGCTCCCTCCTCCTTCAACCCTCCTTTGAGATACTTGTAGGCGTTGATAAGGTCTCCCCTCAGCCTTCTCTTCTCCAGACTAAAGAGCCCCAGCTCTCTCAGTCTCTCCTCATCAGGGAGATGCTCCAATCCTTGAATCATCTTTGTTGCCCTTCGCTGGACTCTCTCCAGTAGTTCCCTGTCCCTCTTGAACTGGGGAGCCCAGAACTGGATGCAGTAATTTAAAGGATGCAGAGCTGGGGCTTTCCTGGCTGGCTCTCCCCAGGGTGGCTAACGGGCAGGTCGGTGGGTGATGCCCGTGGTCCAGGTCCTCACCAGCACCACCCAGCTCACAGGCCATGGCAAGGGGAGCACTGGGCGGGCAGGAGGGATGGGGGACACCCCGTCTGCCATCCCCCCGCGGGGCCCGGCTGCCCCGGGAATGCTCCCGGCGCGGTGTCAGCGCTTGGCAGGTGATTTGTGCTGGGCTCGGGGTGTGCTCGGGCAGGGGAGCACGTAGCAGCCCGGCTCCGGAGCGAAACACGTACCAGACACATTATTGAGACAGGAATTTCTTGTCATCGCCAGAGCTTTACTTACCTTTGTCATTTTTAATGCATTGCACTCAGAGCCTGGGTTAAAAAAACCCAATGTACCCTCCCCCCCACCCCGCAGAGATAATTTAAGTCCCTTTCTGAAAGAAACTTTTTTTGATTTCAGCAGCTCCCAGGAAACACCAGGAGAGCGGCAGCAACACGTAACTTTTCCACCCCAGGGTTCTGCTGGTCAAACAGGACCCCCAGAGACAAATATGTGTCGTGGGGTGCAGAGCATGGGCCAAGGTGGGTTCTCATCACGATGCCCACGTTCTGCCCCCTGTGCCAGCCCCCATCCTTCTCCTGTCCTGTCCTTACCTCTGTCTCCTCCCTCCCTTGGGCAGGCGGGGTTGAGTCATCCTAGGCATGCTCTAGGGGAAACCGTTGCCTCCAGCCCATTTCTTGGAAGCTAATAAAAAGGAAAAAAAAATAATAATAAAAGAAAGTCCCAGAAATGTTGCGACACACACATTTCTTCTGCTTCTGTCACATCCCCACACCTCGCGGGCAGCTCCAGCGTGGGACCACGCAGGGTTTGCTCCGGGACCGTGTTATCCATAGCCACAGCCCCTTCCCATCAGGTGCCTCTTCCCTCCCCTCTCCACACTGGCAAGGCTGAGGACACATATCTGCTGAATAATTAGCCTTTATATCATCTAACCTTTGGATAAATGTACCCTTGGCCTTGTGCTTCCTGCTCATGTAAGACAGCTTGCTCTTCCCTGAACAATCTTATTCCATTGGCTCTTGATAACCAGTATCCTCCTGAAAGCCACTATTCTACCAAGAAGATCTCAATTCCTTCTGTAGGGGATTTAAACCTTTCTGAGGGATGCAAGCTCCAGGTGGTTTGTATCTTTGAGTTAAAATAATCCCATTCTCCTGTCCTTTTCCCCTTCTCAAGCCTGCCAGGTCAGGCAGTTAACTTCATTAACTTCTTCCCTCTCTCTCTTAGAAGCAGCTCTTGCAACATGAAGAATCCTCCCAGAATTTTCAACTCTAATTTTGCCTTTCCATTCCACTCATGACTCCACACGCGATCACTTGATCCAAGCTAATTTTCCCTGGCTAGCTATTACACGTCCTCCACTTCAGACACAAAGTCTGAAATCACAGCCCTTCTGGGCAGCTCGGAGACGACTTTATGAAGCAGTTTATGGGCTACAACCCCCTGGGAAACACGGGCTTTACCCAAATTAACCACCTTTGATCTCCACTTGACATCAAGAGGGTTAAAGGTTCCCAGAACTAGTTGTCTTTCTAGTAACACGGAGATCTCAAACCCTACCCAAACCCGAGTCTAGAGGTTTCTCAGAGGATTCAAAGAAACCCGCCGGTTTCCCCGCGTCGGCGGCGCGTTGGGAGGGTCATCGTTCCTGGGAAGGAAGGACCTGGAGGTCCCGGGGGAGGCGGAGGTGACAGAGGAATGCCAAGCACCTTTTCCCATGTGTATGTTCTTGCACACACATGCACGGGTTTGTAACCTGAAACTCTCTTTACTTCTGGACAGGCTTTGCAAACTGCTTAGACCACATTCTCTGAGGTGTTTAAAGAGGGTGGAGTATGCACTATTTATTTAGGTACTCTACAAACCTTAATAAGAATCGAGTGCTTGTAGCAATCGCAGAGAGCAAACAGCGAGCCAGCTGGCACGAACCGAACAGTGCCACTGCATTTTTATTGCTACTAACCCCCCAAAACCAGATTACTACTAAAAAAATGTCTTTTTTAATTTCGTTTATCTCTGATCCTGCATTAATTTGTCTGCTGTGCGCAGCAGTATTATTAGCTGTACTCTATTTTTCAACGGGCTATAAAAAATCAGCTTTTAAATTTCCTCCTGGTCCAACTCCTCTTCCGATCATTGGTAACCTGCACTTGGTGGATCTTAGAAGGCAAGATAAATCACTAATGAAGGTAGGACAAAAACCCCCAAACAAGACCCTCATAGATTTTAAAGCTGCCTGGTTTTTGAAGTTCTCAGTGAGAACATTTTGGTCTTTTTTTAATTCAAACTAAATTGTAAGGGTGCGAAAATTGCTTTATAATATTTTTCTGGGCTTCTTCTAGCCAACGTCCGTGTTGGTGCAATGTCATTTATGAGCCATCTCTGGGTAATATGGGAATTCTTCATGTAATTGTGATGATGTACATGAAGTATATAATGCTTGTGGGATTTGAAATGTTAATTTGACAGCTCGGACACCCAGGAATCTTTTAAAGCATTAAGGCATAACTAACACGAAATGAAATTGCTTCCCTCCCGTCTGCCCCGGAGAGCTGGCAAGGGGAATTCCACAACGTGGTGACCCCAAAACTCCTTTGGGGAGGGCCAAAATCCAGCTTGCCCCTGCTGCAAAGTCCCCATCCCTCTCT